GCAGGAGAGCCAACACACATCAAACATCACAGTTCAGTCATGTCAGCGCTGCCACAGAAGTGGTGCTCCTACTCCTTTATGCATTCCAAGGAAGAGGGAGGAAGTTACAAACTGATCATACCACACTTCACGTGTCTCACTGTGAAACGGATCAGTGGTTATGCTGTTTTGTGACCTTGGCCTTATCAGCACCTGTAAAGGGATTTGTTTTCTCAAACTGCTGAAGTAAGTTCATCTAGTTTTAGAAACTTTCACTGAACAGTCTATAACAGTGTCACAACTAAGCATATGCATAAGCACTTAAATACTTTAAATGAGAATAACAGAAAAATTCTATTACAGAGGCTAGAGCATGTCCCAGTAGTCATAGGTAGATGGATGAGTACTCTGATTTAAGTACGATACCTTTGGCCAGGGATTAATCTGGTGCATCGCTTCCCCACACCTGAATTAAAAAAAAAGAGGTCATAAAACCCTTTCCCTTCCAGACCTCAGTTGTCCAGTTACAAATGTTGAGACCTTTCACAGTTCAACTGGGGGAGGGGTCTTCTACAATCTACTCCTAAGTTCATGACACAGTCAGGGCTTTATTACATTGAGGGCAATGTCAGTGTCTCTACAATAATTCTACATTCTATGTTAACACATTTCTAAACTCTAAAATAAGCTAAACATTTCTACAACTGCCATCACAGAAATCACTTCACACAAACCTGTGTATATTTGCATTTATTGAAAGTTTTCCTGAAACTTGCTTCTTGAACACACCTTCTTTGTGATGTGTGCAGCTTTAGAGTAATTTAAATCCAAAGTATTCATGAAAGAAACCGAAGTATTAGTCATACAGAATAAAACCCCACAAAGAGCACAATAAAGTTTTATTAACAACAATAATAATACAACATTGTTTTGGTACTTAAAAACTATGTGAACAAAACACTGGTCCTGAAACAACATCAGCACAATGTCCATGCTGTCCAGCACAAACTCAAGAGTGAGTAGCTGGAGATTTAAATAGGCGGCTCCATGTCCTCTTCCCGACTACTCGGGTATGACTGAAGTAGCGACTGCACTATAAGGTCCATACCGGCCAAATACATCTTTGCCCACCACAGCCGCACACACCCTGTGGCCAGGCTTGTACTTTTTGACCAGCACACACATGGGCAAATTCAAGGCCTTCACCTCACCGAGGATATTCCAGTCTGGGAAAGCGCCACTGCCCTTAACCTTTTCCATAGTTAGGAAGATCCTGCAACAGGGACAAAGAACAGATAAAAAAACAATATCATCAGTGAGTAACTTAAAGTCAAGATTACTAGTAAAGCCTAAGAACTGACTGACTGCTTCCATCAGGTGGTTACAAAAACTGACAGCAGCGTCACAGTGAGATCCTCATGAGGATATTTTTTTTTTCATATTGGTTGTAGAGCTGAGAAACCACACCCTCGACACGCAGTGATGAGTTCAACACTGCTTCTTACGTGTAACTGTCCATGGGTGGAGCAGAGGGGTCTTCCTCCACCACTTTCCAGAGGACAGAGAGGCCGGTGGGGTTTCTGATGAGGGCCAGATTTACTTCAAGTTTCTGAGGGATGCTATACGAGGCCGCTTCCATGTTCAGGACGGAGGGGAAGGGTCTAGAAGGAAGAGGAGGTAACGAGAGTCCGTTCTGAGGAAGGAAGGAAACTTAAGTGAGTGGGTGTGATGTACCTCAAAGAGTGGAGTGAATCAAATGTATTTTCAGCATGGGTGTATTACCTGCTCTGAGTGAGTGTGACTGGGACTCCTCGTGGCGACAGAAGAGACACATTCTGTTTTCACCTTTCGATGCTTGGGCTCTTCAAACTCTTCTTCACTGTTTTCTTTTTCTTGCTTAGCTATGTGCTCATGCTGGTTTTACACATGCCAAAATGGAAGATGTCAGTAATGATAAAAAAAATGAAAAGACATTTAAAAGAACATTTTTTTGCTTGCTCAAATAGCCTCCACACATTAATTTGTGGCAAAATAAATAAAATAAAAGAGAGCGCATAGTAAAGCATCCCACCTTAAGCTGAAAAGGCCGTTGAGGAGTCAGAACTGGAGGCAGCAACTCCTCATTTGAATCAGTCGTGGCAGCTGTCATAATTTAATACAGATTATTTAAAATGAGAAGGAGGAGAAGGGAAGAGACAGGAGGAAGTAGGAAAAGGGGGATTTTTGTTATAAAAATTAAAAATGGTTGACTTTTCTTCATTACCTTCATGCGTCCTCTTTACTCCTCTTCTCGTGGTTTCCTGGGCAGAAAGAAAGCCACTAAATTAGAGGTGAAATTATTACGACAATAATAATAATAATAAATAACAATAATTATAATAACGAGTAAGTAAAGCTTATTTATATAGCATGTTATAAGAACAAAAATCAAAGTGCTTTTAAATATAAAGTATTAATATTGACCTCAAATTAAAATTATGCAAAATTTAATTCATGTATTGTTATTATTATCATCATCATTAGTATTATTATTGTTATACACTACCAGTCAAAAGTTTGGACACACCTCATTGTACAGCTTTTATTTTTACTACTTTCTACATTGTAGATACAAACTAAAGACATTAAAAATATATATAGCAAGATATCTAGAATTATGTAGCAAAGAAAAATGGATCAATAATAAGTTTTATATTTTAGATTCCTTTGATTTGTTGTCAGCGCTGCAAACCCTTGGCCTTTTCTCAATGAGCTTCCTGATGTTGTCACCTAAAATGATTTTCACTTCACAGGTGTGTCAGGGTTCATTTGTGGAATTTCTTGCCTTCTTAATGGGGTTGTGCAGAAGTCAGGTTGGTACACAGCTGACTAGTTGACAACTGTTAAAATGTATATTAGGGCAAGAACCAATAGGCTAAGAAACGAGAAATGAGAGTCTATCATTACTGGAGCTCAGTCAGTCTAAAAAATAGTTTTTTTGCAGTCGCAAAAACCACCACGCCAAACTTTTGACTGGTATTAGCATAGCTTAAAATATTAATATGGGCTACTAATTTAACTGAACTTTTGATCAAAAGATTTAACTGTTAAACACTGACTGAAAAATAAAGAATGAAAAATATGTTTCTGTTATTTAACAGCAATATCTACTATGATCTTAAATATGTCCCTAACATCTCCATTTATATTACCGTATTTTTTGGACCATAAGGCGCATTAAGCGAAACAAAACAGTCAGATAAGTCAAACTTTACTCAACTCATTCTTCTTGCTTCCTCCACTTTCGTACCATTGATTCATTAATGTTGAATTCTCTCATAGCTGCTCTATTCCCATGTTGTTGCAGTATATTAATGACTAACCTCGTATTGTGGATGGATTATTTGTTCTCCTGACTGAACTTGGTCCGTTTACAGCATCCTGCCATGCAATTGCATTTGTCCCTAACCATCGGGAACCCTCACGTTAACTTTTATCGAATGGAAAAAGTTACCGTTCATCCTCCAGCTTTACCGTGTTTATGTTATGCTAACATAGCTGTGTCACTAGCGATCATGTAGCACAACATTATATACCAGCTAGCTAAACTTCAGTAACCCTACAAACGTCACCGCTGTTTAGTTTTCTGTCTTCATTTATGTTGGAAGTGATAGCAGAGCTGTACGTCTTAAATTTTTCAGAAATCTCTCAGTCAGAACATGGCATATCATGTTTAGGTGGAAACTAGCGAGCTAACTTCCTGCTAACTTCTAATTCCGTTAAATTAAATAAAATCTGTTCTCATGGATTGCCTGGATATAAAACTTAATTGTTACACCTGGTAAAGCAGCAACACTGATCATTTTATTAAAAATGAAAGAATTTAGAGTTTTTAACTCTCAATGATGCCGCAGTGTCCGTTTGACTTTGGGACCTGAAGCGGAGTTTGCACCCAGATTACTACGGTAGACGTACTGCTCCGACAAACCATCCAGTGGTGCAGCTTACCAAAGTCATACTAAAACATTTTTTGACCAATTTTTGAGCGCTGTGTACCACATAAAATCGGTTCGAGGTCAATAAGCATAACCGGGAATTCATACATAGGCACACTGTCAATATTTGAGAAAATTATAGGATTTTAAGTGCGCCTTATAGTGCCGAAAATACCATATATATTAAACACCTCTCAAAAGTCAGAAAGATAAAACCCCAACTATCTGACTGAAGAGCTCTCTTTAGAAAAAAAAAAAGACCTCCAACAGATTCAGGATAAGGGAGGAGGCAGGTATCTGCTATCACCAGTTGGGAGGGAAAGAGATATATGCTGACAAAGATGCCAACATGCAGTCTACTTGAATTACCTGCTCTGCGTCTCTATCAGTGTCTCTCGTCTTGTCACGAAAGATACCGTCTACTTTCACTCTTTGACCCTTTGGATTCTCAAACTGCATCAACTGCTTAACTTCGGGCTCCTTCCTTATGAACCTGACGGGTCCCTAAATTACAGAGACCAAAAACAAAGATGGACAAATGAACTCAAGACAGAAAACAGACAAAGATTCAGCTGGTTGGTGATTTATTATCTTATGGAACCAGCATTACTTTTGTGTGCTTCTGTAGTTCTAATAACTGGCATATACAATCACTGGCTACTTCATTAGACAACTGAGTAATCAGCCAAACCCATAGCAGCAACTTATTCCATTTAGACATGGTCAAGAGAAACTGCTGATGTTCAAACTTTGCAAAAGGGATGCCAATAACCACTTCTTCCAACAAAAAGGTATGCAGAAGAACATCTCTAAATGCACAACAAGTTAAACCTTATAGCAGATGGGTTATAACATCAAAAGACCAAAGGGGCTGCCACTCATATCAGCTAAGAACAGGAAACTGAAGTTAAACCAATACTGGAAAATACAAAAATGGGAAAAATGTTGTTTGTTCTGTATCGTGGCTTCTGCTCCAACATTCAGACAGCAGGTTCAAAATTTGACGTAAACAACGTGAAAACATGAACCCATGGATCCTACCTTCTATCAATAGTTTGGGCTGGTGGTGACGTACTAGTGTGGGACACACACTGGGCCACTTAGCACACAGTGAGCATTGTTTAAATGACACAGCCTCTCTTACTATTCTTTCTTTGTTCATTCCTTTATAACCCCAGTATAACAATCTTCCGATGGCGGCTTCAACAAGATAACTCACCATGTCACCAACCTCAAACTAGTTTCTTAAACATCAGATCTCAATCCAGTAGAGCACCTTTGGGATGTGGTGGAACTGGAGATAGACGTGCAACTGACTAATCTGCAGCAACTGTGTGACTTATCATGTCAATATGGACCAAAATCTCGGAGCAATCTTTCCAGCACCTTGTCATGAAGAATGAAGCCAAAGCGAGACCAATCCAGTACTAACAAGGTTTACCTAGTAAAGGGTCATATGAGTGTACGTGCAGTTATGTAATATTGCTTATTTTTAAAGGATCCTACCTCATACTCCAATGGGCTGTTAGGAGTTGGAGGACGCCGCTCCTCATTTAAATCTGCCATGGCAGCCATCAAAGCTTATGTGGATTATGTAAAATAACAAGTGACAGAAGGGATGGGAAATAGCAGGAAAAGGGATGTAGTTTATTCATATGCTGATTCATATTATTACATTTCAAGGTATTATAACAGCTTTTTGTATCTGCAGAGAAAGAACGTTAGCACAAGCAAAATAGGATACGCATTTTAGATTTGAGGTACACAAACATTTACATGTGTGAAACCAAAATACTCTTGTTTTACAAAGTAAAGACATTTTATAAATGGGACATGACAATCTAAGAACTTCTTAGTAAAAAACATCTTAAAGGATCTGCATCATCGGCATAATAACAAAGACGCTAGCTGCCCAACTTGTGCCCAACTTATTAATCTATTTAAATATTTCCCTGAGACAGACTTGACTGGTTACTCTATCATTGCTGAAATAGAAGTATATCCCTTTCTTCTTTTGGGGTTTAAAATAAAAGCTTATAACTGGTAGCATTACCAGAATACATACAGAAATGAGTAAATCTCCATTTTCACATGTGCACATATACTACACAGGTCATGCCCATCCATACAAATGCAAAACTATACACCTTAACACATAAAAACTCCTGCATGTGAATAAACTTACCTTTACTGTCAGCACGCATCTTCTTAAGTGTCTGTCTTGTGATTTCCTGGATAGAAAGAACCAATAAGCTTTGAATATGAACCCCAATGCAGATGTTTTACTGTGAAATTTTGCCCTGAGACCTTTCAAGAAGCTGCTGACCCCAACAAAATTTTAAATCAATAAGTGATTTTAAACTATTTTTAAAAAACTGACTAAATAAACAATGGCATATTTACCATCATCTGAAAGAGCCCTCCGTTCTTGGTTCCATCTATTGAGAAATAAAATGGCATTGAATAAATATTAATTTCAGCAAGAAATACAAAGTGATATTAATGTGCTCGGTAGGTTCTTACTCTGTGAAACAGCTTCCATGTCTCTTTCTTCTGAATTTGTTCTGCGGATTAAATGAAATTGTAACAAAACTGATCAAATAAATCACAACCATAAAGTCACATCAGGGTCTTCATTTTTAAAGATTAATATATTAGAGCTGGTTCTACATACCTGACCAGAGTAGGCGCTGCATTCTGAAAGTTAAAATGGTAAAATTGATCATGTTGCGTTAGGATTTTTAAATTAGTGCATGTACACAATGAATAGTGTTTCAATATTAAATTCCATAAAATTACTACTTAGACATTTATCATTACACTATAAGCAATAAAGTGTATAAAATGTGATTAATTGTACTGTGCATTTTGTCTTTGTTACCTTTTTTTGCATCTTTGTTACGTAGTCAATAGCAGCTTCTGCTCTTTTAGACAATATTTTAACTCGTGCCTGTGGGGAAAAAAAAAGTGTGTTAGGGTTTGTTTGGATTTTTTTGTTTGTTTTTTCTTTTTTTATTTAAACACTACTTCGTCTTAGGCCCCAGTCACACAGGCCTAGAGACTGCCTGGAAACCACTGATTGCTATGAAATTAGAAAGAAAAAAAAAAGTGGAATCCCCAGCCTCTGTCATGCAGACCAGTTAGTAAGACTGGCATCACATTGTGGGAGGTTACTTGCTGTTGCTAGGTGAAACTAATTGCAAAGACGTATATGGTTCGGCACCAAAAACCTCCGTGATTGCTTCGATGGCTTAGTTTGAATGCATGACACTGACTTATTTACAGTGCCAACTACTCGCTAAGCAGTACCGAAACTGTAAGGAATACTACAGCAACAGGAAATTAAGACAGCTCATCTTCAAAAGTTAAGACTTTTTGAAAAGCATTGGTTTCAGAGCTAGTGAAAAATACAACCTTTACTTTAATGGCAGTGTTCATGCTTCAAGTTTCACTCCTGCTCATTTTTTAGTTAGCAAGTGTTAGGAGACAGGCCGTCATCGCCCATTCAAACTACAGGCAACCATGGCAATCTGGTAGAGACCAGAGAAGGTTCTGTGGCACAGCACACTCTTTACAACCATTTTTACCAATTAACAGCAAGCAACCTGCCACAAACACTTGCTCAATGATCAGGGAATAAACAATATTTTCCCCAGGTAACTGGAGTTGCAGACTCTCTAGACCTGCAAAAAAAAAAAAAGGTGCGCACACAAATTCAGCTCGATTCCCTCTAATCAAGAAATTTTTTCTGTGAAGAATTTGGCAAAGTCATTGCAGGCCATGGTTGAATGAAGTTCAGCTGCCACTGACACAGGAGGGTTTGTTAGCCTGTCAACTGTAGAAAATAAGACCCGAGCATTATGGCTGTTTTTAGTGATGATGTCAGAGAAGTAGGACCTTCTTGCACTCCTCAGTTGTAAATTATAATTGTGAAGTTTCTCTTTATAGATGTCATAATGAACCTGGAGGTTTGTTTTTCTCAATCTGCGCTCAGCTTTCCTACACTCTTTTTCATTTTTCACCAGTGTGGAGTTTCTCCATGGAGACCTTTTCCTTCCAGAGATAACCTTCACCTTAATGGGAGCAATTGTGTCCATTACATTTAACATTTTAGCATTGAAGCTATTGACGAGCTCATTGACTGAGCCTCTGGACAGGTCAGGTGTTAATGGGAAGACCTGGTTAAATATCTCACTACTGTGTTCAGTTATACACCGTTTTGTGATCACTGCTGTTGATATATTTGTGTGGGCTGAGATTTTACTTTCAAAGAAAACACAGTAATGATCAGACAGGCCCACATCAGACACAGTAACTTTTGAAATGCTCAGGCCCTTGGAGATCAGTAGGTCAAGAGTGTGTCCTCTGTTATGTGTGGGCTCTGTTACATGCTGAGTCAGCCCAAAGTTGCCCAGAGTGTTACTCGGGTCTTTAGTCCCATTGTCCTGAGGGTTGTCCACATGGATGTTAAAATCCCCAACAATAATTACACAGTCGAAATCAACACAGATCACAGACAGCAGTTCACTGAGGTCATTAAAAAAGTCTGTGCAGTATTTGGGAGGCCTGTAAACATTAAGAAACACAACTTTGGATGGGGCCTTCAGCTGTAAAGCCACATATTCAAAAGACTGAAAACTTTGTAAGGTTCTTTTTGATTTGGAAGGAAAAGTAAGCGCAGACAGAGTCCTAGGGGGTGTCCAAAAAGTGATTTATTAAACACACACTTATTATACAGTGCGGGAAGCCGGTCTTCGCCTTTCGGCCCGTTACAAGAAGCTTTATAGCCTTTATGACGTCAGAACAATTCCTGGGACTCATCTTTCCAGAACAACAACACTTTCCCAGAATTGATACCAGATGTTTCCCATCATCGGTGTTTGGGAACATAACAATTGTGTAAGACGAGTGTGCAGTTGTGTAAGGTTGTAGGTCCAGGCCAACGAAAGGTGAGTGTCCTTATCTGACTTACTGCGAATGTGTTTTATTCTGCGTGCTCTGGCAGATTTACTAAATGATAAATGATACATGATAATATTGGTGATAACCTGATGATAAGTGATACAGACTAATGAAGTAATGATGAAATAATGACCGTGCATGTGAATAATAACACAGTGACAGTAAAATAACATTCCTTGACATGACAACTCCTCCTCTTGGGCTCGCTTGCGAGACCAACCTTCACCAGGATTTGTCTCACTCCTCCGTCCAGCCTACAATCTCCCTCAAGGGCATCATGGACTCAGGCGTCGCTGAACCAGCTGAGCCCGAGCTCAGGGCCCTCTCCAGCATCTTTACCAAAACTCGCCGGGCCAGAGGGATGAGACAACATCCTATCATTAATATACCAAGAAAAACAACAAAAGAAAACATGGCAGACATAACAACACTCTTCCATTGCCCAAAGACAGACGTAAACCAGTCTCCCGGTCCCGTGTTCACACCTGATTGCTCATGCATGGTTTTAGATAACATTTTCAGACTCTCAAGCGCTCTAGTAACCGTACCGTCTGGGGCCGTATTGTTGGGTATGAAGGTACAGCACATGTCCCCAAACATGGCACACACACCACCCTTCTCAGCCAACAACATGTCCAGGGCCATTCGATTTTGGATTCCCATTAACGACGTCGGGCCTAATTGTTCCGCAAGGCCTTCTACCGTGTCCCTAGTGAGATTAGAGAGTCTCAGCACATTATAATGGACATAGTTAATGCGATCAACATTTTTATTTGGAGTTATCCATAGAAACACACTTTCAAAGCCGGCCGCTACCAACCGCTACGTCCAACCAAGTTTCAGTTAAAAACATAAAATCGAGGCTGTGCTCAGTGATTAAATCATTAATTAAAAATGTTTTCCCAGCGAAAGATCTAACGTTTAATAAAGCCAACTTAAGTGTTTTAGAGGTATTACTTGTCCCCTCGTGTTTGGGAGCAGTCTGTGGCACACGAGGTATGTTTACTATATTTAAAGATCTTTTAGAGTGCAGCTCTCTGTGTTTTGACCAGGCCACATGTCTCCTTCTGTCACCTAAAAGTACAGAAATTTTAAAACCTTCTAGTAAACAGGGTCCCAGCTTCTCCTGGGAAAAGTCGCCACTGCCATAATCCTCGCAGCCCGGACCCT